GTAAAACCGATTCCTGACGCTATATGATGGTATATATATATATATATATATATACAGTCTATATGCAGTAGTGTGTACGATTAATTACTCAAATTTAAATTAATTGTTAATAATTATTTATTAATTATTAATTAATTAAATTAACTTTAATTAATTGTGTGTACTATTACCGAAGTCACTGATTAAACGAATTAAGTAGTCACGATTTGAAATAAATTCTTAAATTTTTCTATTTAATGAAAATAAATGTTTCTTCAATAAACAGTCAAATCGTAATATTTTATTTTATCATTATGACATATTTACTTCGTATCACAATCTGTTCTTTTCTGCATATTACTTTTACAAAATAATGTCGATGTTTTTTAATTTGAAAAGGTAAGGCAAGCGAGCAGGCGATTCGCCCGATGCTAAATGATAACCGCCGCCCATGGACATTTGTAACACCCATAGGGTTGCAGAAGCGTTGGCACCTTTTAACAAAGTGCTAACCCGGCTACCTCACTCAACAGACGAAACGCAGAATTTAACACTTTATTAAATTTTTATTGAATTATAAAATTTTTTATCCGTGTTTTTTTTTTTTAATGTGAAAAGTTGCCAAACGAGCAGACGGTTCACTTAACATACTTAACTACACCCGAGGGTTACAGATGTGTTGAACACCTTTTGAAAATTGGGCTCCGGCTACTTCGCTTAACAGACGAAACGCGAAGTATTTGTCATACTTCCACTTCACGCCGGTCTTGTGCGAGGTCGTGGAACCTACCCGAACGAATCTGCCCATACATGCAACAGCGAAGACTTGCGTGGCCCTACCACAGTTTTATAAAATACCGTATACGTATATTTTATATACCTATATGTATAAAAGGACGCAGGATAAAATCTTCGCGACGAAAGACACTTTTCTATTACAATCGTTACATTCGACTCTATTGCTCGAGTATCCTTGGGTATAGTGGGTTTTTTAAAATCATCAATCTATCATTTTCAAATCATTATGGCCCCAAATGTATGATATGTATTTAAAAACTATTTTCACGCGAAACGATTTTATTTTAAATTGTTGATTTGTTTTCACGTTTTGTGAATTATTTATTCGAAATAGTTTTAAGCAAAACGGAATTTGCATTTATTCGACTATAGTCAAGGTTCATGCTAATTGCAAATGCAAACTGACCATTTCATCGTTTATGAATAAAGAAGAGCGCGCCAAAATCAATGTATAAACTGTTTATTTTTTTTTTTTTGCATTGGCGCCAAGTGATTCTAATTAAAATAGTAGCCTCGATAATATTTCAATTATTCTCTTTGATTTTATTGAAAAGTCTTCGAAGATTTTCGAACGAAAACCTATCGGCGAGCCTGCTTATTGGTTGCAGAACCTTTTGATAATAGACGTAATTTTAGTTGACAGTTTTGACACGAATCAATAATATAAAACCACATCATGTTGGGAAACGGTCCCTTCAGACGAAATTATTACGACAACGTAATTAGCGATACAATTTTGAGAATCAGTAGCCGACGCGATAAGTAGTACGTAGATGTATTTAAGATGTGTTTGGCGAATGTGTGTTTGTCTGTGTAATGTGTTTAGTACATAAGAAACTTTAAAATGATGGATACTAGTAAAAAAAGTACCGGCCGTGTATTGTAATACCATCTGTATTAGGGCGTAGTCCACCACGTGACGTCACTGCGAAATATTTTTTTGTTATTATTTCGAAAATTGCATACTTTCCCCACGATATTTGCCTTAACCGCTGAACACTTGATAAGTCAGCACTTAAAATGAACACTTTCATTGGTTATGTTGTTTATAATATAATTGCATCGGGATTCGATTCGGATTTTTGTATTGAATTAAAAGCGAGCAGCCGGCTTAATTGCAAATATTAAAAAAAATATATTGTTAAAAACATAATAATAATAATAATGTATTTATTTGCGAAATATAGGTTAGGCATAAGGTGTACAGTACAGTAATTTTTATCGCTATATTCTACCCATTTTGTAGGGTGTGCAAATATGATATGTTCGCTTAAAGGTTGTCAGTATACATTCTCAAATTTCTTAATTATTATAATCATAAAATAAAATTGAAAAAATTATATAACAGAATAATAAAACATGTCTATGAAAAAAGTAACTTAACAAACATTAATAATAGAACAGAGAACAAAATGACAAATAATTAAATGACTAAAAAATTAAAACCTTTGATAAAATTGTTCGATAAAATAACGTTTTCATCGAACTGAAATATAGTAGTAGTATTTTGCGTACTACATATTTTCTTAACATTATATAGTACACCACACAGTGACGAAATATCTAGTACGACCCGTAATATAGTGCAATACTCGATATTATGGTGCGGTTGGCAACCCTAATGCCACCCAACGGAGCCTCCCGGTGACGCAAGCGAAATATCACTCGCTTGGCATTGGCCTGGCATTCCGACGAGGCCGCGTTCGCTTTGGCCAAGGGGACGCGTAGGAATTGCTACCGCCAAGCGGTCGCTGTAATAGTAGAACCAAACGAGATTTCAACGGACTGAAAAGGAGGCTCTCAATTCCGTTGTATTTTTGAAGTTGCTTCTTCTTTTTAGGCGTTTGGAAAAATATTCAGAGTAAAACGTTCAAGATGCTCGCGCGCACCGACGCTAAAAAGCGACACAATGAAATTTGTCGTAATGCGGCCTACTTTGACCAACTTCACGGTGATTACAATGGCATGGTCCGTACGGAACTTCGATGGCCCGTAGGTGACGTACCACCCTATCTATGATAACGCACACAAGAGCCCATGCGTGGCCCTACCCAATACGTAGGGCCGTGTCAATGTAGTAGTTGCTGGCTTGCCAGCTGACAGTAGTGACTTTATTAACAGACGTCAAAAAAGAAGGTTTCTCAGTTCGACCGTATTTATTTATTTATTTTTTTCTGTGTTCGCGGATAACTACGTCGTTTATGAACCGATTTTGATGATTCTTTTTTTTTTGTTGGAAAGGAGATATCCCAAGGTCGGATACCATGAAGAAGGAAACCCGGATCTGATGATGGCGTCCCAGAGAAGTCGAGGGCAATCCTCAAATGTTATAGGTATTAACAATGTTTTTTTCTAGTTTCCGGTTTGAAGTCGGTTTTATTTTTTGTTAATCATTATTTCGTGTCCTTTCTTTATTTCTTACGTGAAAATTCCTCAGACATGTCTATGGACTGTTACTTTCAATAAAAGCCTGATGAAACTCTTCTACTCCCTATATCTCTGACTCGATCTATCTCTTTCTCGCTTTGTCAATGGTAAGCTGCTGTTTTTGCTATTTATCATCGCCCACGGTTCAAATACGACCGTGTCCGTATAATTGGACACAACTCTATATTATTCCGCGCGCAAAAGGCAAAGTCATCTTGCTCGTACAGCCTTAGCCTTGCGTGTGATCGGAATGCTTTGATCTGATTGGCTCGGGCGTCTTGTATGGAAAAATCGCGTGTTTATTTTTAGGCCGTGTTTGTCTCACTACCATTAACGATCGCGTACAAATGTTTTCGTTTATGTTTGTGTTTAAAATTTACCATGTTCTCGTTCTACAGGTTCCGAGTAAAATTTTCCAAGCGCCGTGTGCTTTTCCACCTACAAAAAATTTTTATTCCATAAAGAAAAATCACTAATGAAATAAACAACAAGTAGAATTATCTGGTCGCTCAAAGTTTTCCCGAAAAAAATATTTAAAACTCGTTATTTTCCCTATGAAAGTCCGCCATTTTGTTGTAATTGTTACACAGGCAACTGTTTAACCTAGAGGAACAAACATGTATTAGGTCTTTGGTATGTTATAAGTAGTAAAGTAACGTCCTATACATGTAGGGTTGCCGACCATATTTTAAAATAACTTTTTCTACTTAATTTTTGGTAAATATCGTTTATACTTTTGTATAAAAATAAATTTTATGAAACTACTCCATTTTCAATCTTTACTGTGCATAAAATTAAACACAATGTATATACATGTAAGTTTTATGGATAATTGTTGAACTTTTATAGATACTACTACCATATAAGTTGGTAAACAGAACAAAATCAAAATCAAATGTCTTTATTCAACATAGGAGTATTACACTCTCTTATTGATAGTCAAAATACTACCACCGGTTCGGAAAAGAAAGCCTCTGTACTGATTTTTATTTATCAAATAAACATTCTCTCTTCTTCCCACACGATGACACTATGGAGAAATACTTTAAAAAAAATATACTTATATGACCGCAGATTTTCTTGCCGGTTCTTCTCTTGCAGGTCTAGTTTAGTGAAACGGTGGTAGTTTTTGACGTTCAATAAGAGCTTAAAATACCCCTATGTCGAATAAAGAAATTTTGACTTTGAGAAATGATGCACAGTCATCGCTAAACAAGTGCACCCATAAAACTTTTCCATCTGTGGTTTCCCGTGTCGGATATCAAAAAAAAATTGCGTGGCGTCTAATCAGGTTTCGTATAACTTAACAGCCCCATTGATGAGTCATCGCCTTGTCCTTACTTTTTTTGTAATATGAAAACCTGTTTTCACACATTTTTTACGGTGGTGTGGCCACGCAGCAGCCACGGCTGTTGCGCGAATGGGCAGGCTCGTCCGGGTAAGTACCACGACCTCACAGAAGACCGGCGTAAAGTGGAAGTATAACAAATACTTCGCGTTTCGTCTGTTAAGCGAGGTAGCCGCAGCCCAATTTTCAAAAGGTGGTCAACACATCTGTAAGCCTCGGGTGTGGCAGATGTCCATGGGCGGCGGTATTCACTTAACATCAGGTGAACGGTCTGCTCGTTTGGCAACTTTTCACATAAAAAATACACGGGTAAAAAATTTTTCCCTCACCCATAATCTGACTCGGGATTAAGAACGTGAACCTCCCTTCATATCCAGCCGATTTTTTTCTCCTTCCAACATTTTGCGTTGAATCTAGGACCTGTTGAACCGCGCAACAGTCTTCGCTAATGCGCGGTCCTAGATTCAACGCGCGAATGGGCAGGTCCGTCCGGGGAATTAAAGTATTGTGCGAGTGTCACTAGATATATTGAAAATTTGTTTTAAATAAAAGAAATTTTGTTTTACATTATATTTGTAAACAAACTGTTGAAAAGCGACTAGTTACTGGTTACCATATCTAAAGACCTCCAATTTTGAGGAATCGGTGGCCCAGTTGTTTAGCATTGGCTTTAGCGCCGTGGGTCGTGGGTTCTTTGCTCTGGATCCAGGTGTTTGTCCCCAAAGAGGATCTCTCTATTTAATTTAAGAGCTAGGCTCTTGTCGGCACAGCTTTGTGACACCCTGTATCCTTCCTTGTTCTTATCTCTGTCATTTACCTTTATAGGAACCAACATTTAATTTCTCCTTTATTTGAGATATATAGCCTGTCATCTGTCTCCCTCTACACCGCTTTCCTTCTATCATTCCCTCCATCGTCTTATTAGGTGGCCTATAAGATGATGAACTGTACACTTTCTATCTCACTTGCCCAAGGTCCCGCACAAATGATATTGGCATATTTATCGAAGAAGTTTCCAGAAATATTTTCCTGTGCACCGCTGTCGAAACGCACGCACCCCGGCGGCCTTGACCCACTGTGTCGAGTGGTTATATTTAACCGACCGACGCGGTTGAACTTGAATCTCAGTCCCAAGTTCGTTCTTTGGCATTCCTGTTCGGTTTTCGATGTTTAAATCGTCCGCTCTCCTGTATCACCGATGTTACTCCCACGCACCCATTCCAGTGATAGCATGAGCTATCTTCAGTGTAAGTTTTAGTTGTTTTGCGCACACGACGCTTGTGCTCAACGGTGATTGAAAAAATCGTGAAGAAAAATGCATATATTCGAAATGAATATTTGATGCCTCCGCGGCGCAGTAGGCTATGTTCGATTCTCATTCTCACTCAAGACAACTATTTGTGTGACCCACATAATTGATAATTGTTTCGAATCTGGTTGTGTTTGTCCACGTGAAATTTGTCTATGTAAAACGTCTGAACAACACAGGATAATGTTATCCTAAAGTAAGGGCAATGTTTTTTTTTTAAATCCGCCAAAGTCCGCCAATACGCAGTGGGTCTGCGAGGTGAACTATGCCATACCCTCTATACGGAGGTATTTGCCCAGCGGTGGGACATACATAGGCCATTACTTTATCACGTCTCTAACAACAACACTGCCAATTGACGTAATATTTACGCAACACAAATCATTCAAGTTCATTAGCACCACTGTTTTGTTTGAGAAACACATCAAAAATAGACGCGCCGAATCTATAGTCCGCCCCGTCTGCTGCGCGCGAGCGAACGGTATTTTTGTAGTCTAGAAGCTTCTAGAAACTGTCTAAAAGCGTGTAGGCAAACTACCAGAAATACTGACAAAGTGTTCGTGAAAGTATACGACGCCCATTCATTTAATGTAGTGAGAAAATATTTGTCACAAGTATTTGTTTTTGTGGCGATGGGCCGGCCATATAGCTCGTAGAACCGATATTCGTTGGGGAAGAAAGGTTCTCGAGTGGCAGCCTCGTACTGGCCATCGCAGTGTAGGACATCTGCCAAACCTGAGGGTTACAGATGCGTTGACAACCTTTTAAAAATTGGGCCTCGACTACCTCACTCACCAGACGAAACGCGAAAGTATTTGTCATACTTCCACTTTACGCTGGTCTTCTGTGAGATCGTGGTACGTACCCGGACGGGCCTGCACATTCGTGCAACAGCCGAGGCTGCTGCGTGGCCCTACATTAAGATATTCTTCAACAATTCTAGAACCTTATTTTTTTTACATGCACCTTGAAAGTTTTGTTTGGGCGGACCATGGTACAAATTGTTTTATTTAAATTTTAACCCTCGTTCGAACCGTTTGCCAGCAATAAAACCCATTTAACCTCATCGCATACTTTAAACGAAATAATTTGGCGTACGCCCATGGAATCGAGGCGAAGTCACCGTTTAAAAATATTACGTCGCTATTAAAATTGTCACGCAACACTTGGTTAAGTGCACACAGATGTGCGATATCTCCTTTTAATCCTTCTTATTTTAAACCGACTTCAAAAAAGGAGGAAGCTCTCAATTTGACTGTATTTTTTTTTAATGTTTGTTATCTCAGAACTTTCGATTGAGTGAATCGATTTTGTTGATTCATTTTTTATTTGAAAGCTGGTGCTTCCCATGTGGCTCCATATTTATTTCATTGGTATTCGATCTTGGGCTCCAGAAATACTTTGGGAACTCCTTTTAATTTTTTTTTCTGCCCAAGTGTTGTATACGTAAAGAGTACGTGTGATGGATTAAGAGAGAGATATGTATGATGGATTTAGAGTTTATTGATAATCATTAACCGACTTCAAAAAAGACGGGAGGTTTCTCAATTCGACCGTATATATTTTTATTTTTTTTATGTGTGTTCGCGGATAACTTCGTCATTTATGAACCGATTTTGATGATTCTTTTTTGTTGGAAAGGTGATATCCCAAGGGTGGCACCATGATAAGGAAACCCTGATCTGACGATGGAATCCCAGGGAAATCGAAGGCAATCCTCAAATGTTATATGTTTTGAAAATTTTTTTAGTTTCCTGTTTGAAGTCGGTTTTTTGTTTTATAAAATGAAATTGACATATCGTTGATTCACTTAAGTTATTGTGATCTGTACACGGATCATATAATAAATAGATGAACTAGATTTTATTAATAAAACAACATTTACATGTAAATTTACGAGATATCTTGCAGAAATCAAAGTTGCGGGCGTAAAACCTAAATTGTAAACGCGTTGCAAATAAATTGACACATCCATTGTTTACCTTCACAGGGTCAATGTCAAATGCATAATGCCCTATAGTCAATCAGTCGCATAAATTGATGTTTCCGTGGCGCAGTTGCCAAGGTATTGGCTTCGGCGTCGGGGGTCGTGGGTTCGATTCCTACACGGAACAACTATTTGTGCGACCCACAGATAGTTGTTTCGCATCTGGGTGTTTGTCCACTAGAAATTTATTTTTGTAAAACGTCCTTACAACACAGGATAATGTTATCCTGAAGTGAGAGCAATCTTTTATAAATTTATAAGAAGAAGAAGAAGAAATTATATAGACCGTCTCCGAAGAATTTAGAGATCTCGTAATGTTTGAATTCAAGGGTCAAATTAAAACTAACGAATTACGGTCGTCGTATACGAACACAATCGGCCGTACGCGACACGATCTTTGACTCGTAAACGGCCCACTTTCCCGCCAAGCGACGTTACCGCCAGAAATAGATACGTCCCGAATTAACGCGCGCCGGTAGATGGCGCCGCCGACGACCGTAACGGAACTGGCCGTTCGCGATTTCGTCGTCGAACGGGACCGTCAGAGAATTGAATCAATTTGTTCTTTTTTCTTTCTAGTTTTTTTTCCACTGTAACCGGCCGGTTCGTTTATTTTCTTAAGTTAATAAAGAAAAAAATATGAGGGTAAAATTTTTACGATGCGCGCGCAAGAAAGACATGATAAAGTTTGCAAAGTTTGAGACTAACTTCACGTTATTATATTTACCATAATTTTCGACATTTACCTAAAATTCCAAGTTATTTATTTAAACCGTTATCAATTGCATTTATAGTCTTTTTGTAAAAAAGACTGGCAAAGAATATAAAATTTATAGTTACTTCTCTTTTGTTACGCTAAAGTATAATTTGTTACGTGCGTACATTATGTACACACTACTTTTCTTTTTGTATTAAAGAAGTAAGATATCATGACCCGCGATAGTTAGACAGTTGAAATTTTCACCGATGATGTATTTCTGTTACCACCAAAACACCAAATATTAAAAACCTAATAAAAAAAATATTTAAATGGGGCTCCCATACAATAGACATAATTTTGGCCTAATTTTATAGATAACGGACCCTTCGTGCGCGACTCCAAGTCACACTTGGCAGGTTTTTTTTTTATATTCGTTTGGTCAGTGCGCGGTTTACGTAACAACGCGTTGTTTGTTAATTCACGGTTGGGAAAACGCACGAAGTATTGGATATTATAATGCAGAGTTTAAACCTACGTTACTTTTTGTTATATAACGTTTGTTTTGTTTCGAAATTTCTCCTCGCGCCACTTTCGCCTGTTGTCTATGAGCCCATCAAACATTTTCATGGTATACTCTCTAAACGTTAGAAAATTTAGTATGGCGACGGAGGTATAGGCACTCTGACTGTTTTCGTTTTAATATGATTTTATTTAGGTATACCTTTATAAGTATAAGAAATACTATTAATAGTTTATGCTATTACATTATTAAAACAGTAAAACATAATCAAAATTAACTCTATGAGAATATTACTCCACTAACAGATCTCATTACAGATTCTCTCCATAATATTATTGATCACTACATAGTGTTAAACAGAGTCTTCCCGCTGTCTGTCTGTTTCTATGTATGCTTAGATCTTTAAACTACGCAACGGATCTTGATGTTTTTTTTTTTTTACGAAAAAGAGTGATCCAAGAGGACGGTTTATATGTATAAACATTGCACCCGTGCGAAACCGGGGCAGGTCGCTAGTTATTTGATAAAACCACGTGGTAAAGCCCCCTAGGTTCGTAAACATGCAAATGAGTTTTAGTTTTAATTTCACGCATTGCATTTCTACCCCGTGACTTGCCCACAGCTGGCAACATTTGGAAAAAAATTTTTGGCATACCGTTAAAGTCGGCAATATTTTCTCTCGCGGTCGTAAGACTTGTCTGTATATTATCTCTGTCTTAGTTTCATATCACAGTCTCGGTTGCTTTGGAACGACGTGGGAGACCACAATGTGGGGACTTTGTATGTGACGTTTATGGACCATAAAGTAGGTCGGGCCGACCATGTGTTTATGGCCGACACTTGAGGCTATGCTTTGTTATAAAAAAGGAGCAAGGCACAAAAACAGACAAACAATACAAGAAGCAAGAGCACTAGATGACGCCAAACATTGCTTAAAAATGTTTTAAAAAACATAGAAAACACGTGGACATTTTCTTTTAGCTCAATGGCTTAGCGTCGGGCGCTTATCCCCGTGGGCGCAGGTCCAAATCGGAATGTCCACCTCTTACCTCAGTGGCTAGAGCGTCAGTGGTGAAAGATTTGCGAAAGTTTTAGCTAATCATTTTTGAATAACATATACGTTATTATAATAAGAAACTTACGCCCGGTTTCTGAAAAACTGATCATCGTAGGAGTTAACTAATCAGCTGTCAAACGGCTTTTCAAATGCTATTTAAGTTGCTAAAATGATGGTTAAACTATTTGAATTGATCATAAAGATCATTCTCATTCACACATCCAGAGAGTTTAACCATCCTTTTGGCATTCGACTAGCTTGGCCGCTTCCTAGTTTGTCTGCTCGCTTGCCAACTTTTCACATACAAAAGCCTATTAATTCTTGCGTGCTCGCGTGGGAACTAATCGGTCGGAATTATTGATTTGCCACCATTGGTCGGCAGATGTCGCCACTGCGGCGAACAGCTGTCGAAGTTGCTCTTTTGGGGTCGGCCACCCGGCGGAGCGGCGAACACCGTTCGTTGCGTAAACATTTACTACGTGGAACTTTCCAGACCCTTTGTTCCATCGTCCGCTGGTGCGAAAGCCTCGTGGAAAGTTCTAGAAGCTCTGTCGGTGCTCTATGTGATGACCGCCGCCCATGCATACCTTTACTGAAGTGGAGGCACCGGTTTTCTCACCTGCCTCGTGAAAAGAGCATCATCTAGAATGTTGCACGGAACATTCTAGATGCTCTGTTTGATCTTTAAATAGTTCGACAGCCTCCCGGGACAGCCTTGGGTGTTTTGGATGTCGCTAATCGCCTGCCCCCTTAGCCATGTGTTCGATCGTCGGCTAGTTGGACGGCCTTGTGGGAAATTAAAGATGCTCTGTTGGTGCCTTTTCGTGTGGGAAGTGATAACCGCCGCATAAATTTTCCCATTTGCCTCGTGTGCAGAGCGTCTGAAATGTTCCAAGTCGCCGTGGAACATTTCAGATACTCTTGTTCGATCGTGGTCTAGTTTGAGAATAGCGGATTATCGCAGATAGCCTTGGGTGTTTTTGATGTCCCTAATCGCTTAATGCAAGGTGAATCGCCTGCCCACTTATGTCACAGTGTTACCAACAGTTAAAAAAAAACTCCAATAATAATTTGAAAACATAATGAAATACCCTAAAATTCACTAAAATCATCACTAAAATCCCCATTCACTAAATGTAACCAACCAAAACTTAACCATTTGATTTGAATTAACCTCCTAAAACCCTTCCGTTGTAAACTTTTCCCAAATTTAAGAAGAGAACTCCTGAAAAGGTGTCCGTGCTTAGCCATGTCCTCCCATAAAAACGCTAAACACTCACCGTGAGCGTACTCGCGCGGTGGCCTATTACGAAATCTACCGTTCGAGGCAGTTGGAGGCAAGTCGTGTGCGAAATCGCAAAATCGTTTCACAATGAGACGCGCGCGCGTTGAATATTATTTCGATTGCGAACGCAAAGTCGCTCTCGTCGGGCGCGCTCGCTTACGTAATAGGGTCCCGCGCGCTGTCTCCAGGTTTTTTTTAAACGACGCGACCTGATGGTGAGCGACTGATGGTCACCGCTACCCATGAACACTTGCAACAAAAATTTAAATCAACTCTTCACATATGACACCCCCCCCCCCCCCCCCCCCCCCCCCCCCCCCCCCTTTTTTTTTTTGTAAATTTGGATAGAACAGCAACACATGTCTTATCACCTTTATGTTTTTGCAGAAGTAAAGTAAAAGTAACGCGACTCCACTATGGATTGGCGGACTTTACAAGTCCTTTATTTTTATTTCGAAAAATATGCAGTTGATAATTCAGCAATTCAAATTGCAATTAACAATTTCATTGGTGCAACCACTGCGAATTGAGCTCTGGTATTTTTCGAGTATATTAATGAAAAACGAGCACCCGGACACTGAGCTATCACGGCTCTATCTCGTGTAATTGAAAAATGTCCGAGTGATTAAAAGAAAGTAAAAATTATCTTCATTAAATTGAGCGCAATTAAAATAACAACACAGAATTATGTACCAAAATTGCCTACGCTTGGCTTTTAATCGCGAAGTTACGCGTGTCGACGTTGCTGTTAAGTTAACCAATAGTAATTCACAGTTAAATTGTAATCAAGCCTTCGGTTTAAATGCCGAAACCTTGAATGTATGGTAATCAATACATTCCATCCAAACCGTACGTAAATAACCTTCTCGTTTTCTTGTTATTAATGAATACATCCCATCATAACGTTGTATTTTTTTGTTATGGAATTTCTGCTTTAAAGAAAGATTGAATTGCAAATTACTTCCTCCGCGAATTCTCGATAGTACATTGGCTTAGTGAATAATGGACCGTATAGCTTGCGCCAGAGGATGTGGATTCGATCCCCACTACTGGAAAAATAATGTGTGATAAACAAGTTTTTCTAGAATCTAGGCCGTTATATAGCGTGTCGTTACCAACGCGACAATAAATGAACACACCTCTAACGCTACTTGCCAATAATCATAAAAAAATATTAACGTTAAAAAAATCCATAATTAAAAAAAATATTTTTCAAACAAACTATTTAAGTAAAAAAGATACAAAATATGTAACATCCTATACAACTACAACTGAGTGATTCATACATTCCGAGACTTTTTCATTCGTTGCCACAGCGTCGCATTACAAGCCTCTCCTTCTAACAGTATGTTTTGTCTCTTTTAAATTCATTCAACCCATTCTTATGCTTTCTGACCTTTACAGATGAACTTTACGTTACAGTTTTATACGTAAGGATGTTCTACAAATGTTTATTTTTGAAAATTTAATAACTCTGTAAATATTGATGTTTTAGAATGTAAATGTTTAATACAATTTTAAAAAGTTATCGTTTATATGTGTGTACATTTATTGTCGCGATTGTAAAGACACGCTGTATACTTAGTACCTACAACCAAAGTTTAAAGCACTGATGTCGCCAAAGATTAATCACACTATCGCTTTATTACGTTACATGAAACGTGTAGATAAAGTTGTTGCAAAACTTTCTTCGCCACTGCCAGGACTCGAACCTGCCTTTCCGGATCCAAGCGCTCCAATCGCTAAGCGGTCGACACCCTAACCGCACGAAGACCTCGCGCTTCCTTCACCATCAACCACATTTTCAACCGACTTCAAAAAATGAGGAGTTTCTCAATTCGACTGTATTTTTTTTTTGTTGTTTATTACCTTAGAACTTTCGACTGAGTGATCCCGAATTTGGTGATTCTTTTTTAATTTAAAGCTGGTGCCATATTAATTTCATTGGTATTTGATCTTGGGCTCCGGAGATACGTAGGGAACTCCTGGGAATCAATTATTAAATGAATACAGAGCGAGACATTTGAAGTCGATTTTGTTTACATTAGTAAAAAAAAAATGTCTAGAATGACGTTTTTCCAATGAATATTATTTCGTAAACTAGAGATGTTAGTAACTGGTATACATAATATGGTACGACATTCAAGTAAATATCGAGCATATAAACTCGTTTTCATATTTCTAAAACAGAACTCCATAATCTAAGGAGTACCCACATGTAATCTCAGTCTTGATGAGCTTTGCAATTGTTTCTAAACGCCTCGCTCGAGAGAGTGAGATGGAGAGAAATTGAAATGAAACAGAAGTAAGTTTATCTATGCATACTTTCACTCGTCGAGAATCGTCGAGATTCTCTTGAATTACGGGCTGTGTTCACTCTAAATTCTCGCGGTGCGATATATACTTTGGAAATACATATTATTGCACATATGTACTTATATAGACCATGAATGCTTTAAATAGTGTTGGTGATTGATGTTAAGGTGCATTTAAATGTAATAGTGTTCGCCAATTGATTGCAGATCCATAGACCATGATCGTTATAGAAAATTTAAAGACAAAGAAAAATATTTGTTTCCTTACGTTACAAAACTACCACGATTTCTTCTCACGCCCCGGATTGAGTGGTAGAGAATGCCAATAGTCATTAAGTCCGCCCTTTGTTACACTTTTTGAGGTGTTTTCAATTAAAAATAAATAAATAAATGATCTAGCTATAAGGTAGGTGTGCTGCTTTTACGTATAAAGGCCCGTTTACACGGTGCCAGTTTCTTGCCTGTTGTATACAATTAAATTGAAGCAATAAATGAGTTGCATGGTCTTAACAATTATTGCGCGCAATTTATTGCATTCAATTATTGCTCTTGTATGTACAAGAAAATGGCATCGTGTAAATGGGCCCTAAGATACCTGTGCCAGAAGGCACTTAGGTACACTGAGACCGTATAATAAGTTACTAAATAATGTAGTTAAGTGCCATAATAAGGGTAGAAAAATAATATGTTATTTATTATTTTTATTGAAAACACTAAAGGTCTTTACTGAACAAAGAAAAAATGTAGAAAAAGGTACGGAGCTAATTGGTCTTTTAGTTTTTTATCTCTTCTTTCTCCTGATCTTATCCTACTTAGGTGGGGTCGTCGCAACGAGTGTATAAATTTGTTGATAGGTTTAGGTAGGTTTTCTACGAACAGTCGATTGCCTGACGTTAACCCTCATTGGGAACAAACACCCAGATCCGGAAATAGAAAAAAAGAAGAAAGGAAGAAAATACGTTTATTTACCTAAAAAAGGACGCACACAACAAAAGAGAGAAAAACAAAATTTAACAAAAAATTGAAATAAATATAAAAACATGCTTATAAATAATACAGTAAAGCAGAAGAACATAAATACACAATTTAAATAAAAAATAACTTTAACAAACAAAAAATATTGTACGCCCTGTTCCGGTAAATTAGGTCAGTTGCTGACCATTATGCTGTGCCGGTAGTCAAGGCCCCAACACAGTTAAGCCTTGGAATAACTCTACATGCAAAGCTCAATGGGGCCCATATACCCAAACTTGCTATTATATTTAATTTCTGCAGCATATATCATATGGAAAATAAGATGTCTGAACGATATAAAACAAGCTAGAATTTTTTTATGTGAAAAGTTGCCAAGCGAGCAGACGGTCAAACTGATAGTGAATGCTGCCGCCCATGGACATCTGCTACACCCGAGGGTTACAGATGCGTTGACGAACTCTTAAAAATTGGGCTCCGGCCACCTCACTCACCAGACGAAACGCGAAAGTATTTGTTTTACTTCCACTTTACGCCGGTATTCTGTGAGGTCGTGATACTTACCCGAACGAGCCTGCCCATTCGTGCAACAGCCGAGGCTGCTGCGTGGCCCTACCACCGTGAGATTTATATATTTTATTAGCTGACCTGGCAAACGTTGTTTTGCCATATAAATGATTTCTAGGTAATTTGGAAGTATTTGACAGGCTACACAGGCATAGTTGACAGGATGACAGGTAAAGTTTGTATGGGATTTTTCTATAATTTCTCATCGTTTAAACCTTCCCCGGACTGCCACAAATATTTCAAAACCAAAATTAGCCAAATCGGTTAAGCCGTTCCCGAGTTTTGGCGAGACTAACGAACAGCAATCCATTTTTATATATAAGATTTATTTCCATAAAATTATTTAATTTGTCCGTGGGTCACACGAATACTCGTCCCTTCTTTTAGGCCTTCAATTCCTTTGTTCGTCGTGGAACCTTGGAAAACAAATCATCTGGTAGCGTCGCCTTGCGAC